AAAGAATTTAAAATGTTCCGTTCTGTATAAGGTCAAGTTAGGCTATGGAATGGAAATAATTGGCTTCAAAATGACTTTAGTTGATGTGTGACTCTGCGAGAGACCATCATAGAACAGCTCGGGCGTTATCGTTCGTATCATTATATCAGTAGACGGAAATCCTTGTTGATTTTATCCAAATCATTGTTTTGGGAGCTCCAACTCTTTCAGTTCTAATTTCTGGGTTTTGAAGAGTTTTGTGTTTATGTTCGCTTCCATTCTGCTTTACAATTACTCAAAAATGCAGGAAATTGTCAGAGGCTGGACTTGAGCTATGTCGTGAAGGCTTGGGGAAAAGTCCCACTGCACGGCAGCTCGGCAAAGCTGCTGCAAACGTAAGATACTGTCCATATTCAGTGTCTGCTCTAAGATTTCAAACCAACCGGGTACACGCGTACATGTACCTGGCACAACACTTGCAACCGGGTCAGTCCCGGGCACATTCGAGTGCGGCTATCGTACATCAGGGAGTCTTGGACTTGTACCCTTTTTTAAACCTTTAAGACGAACCCTCAAATAATAGTAATGTTGATGCCTGTGAATGGCAACGGTCTTGGTCCAGTGAGCCCATTTGAAGAGAATGACGTGTTACGTCGGTTATGGCAGCAGTGTATTTGCCTGCTACGAACCGGTCTGAGATCTGGGCGCTCGTCGGTTTCAAGGCACCCGGACAAGAAAAGTTCAACTCTATTTCCATGCCACCATGTTAGGAGCTGAATCTGCGCTTTGGTCCTTGAGGGTGGTGCTATTCCTGCAGATGCGGAATAGTCGTCTGACCAATTCACATGCAAACTAGTTTTGTTTTGTATGTTGTGTTGAAAGTGTTAGTTTTGTCGTACTGATTGGGATTCTTTGCTTTCTGACACTTGCCGTGTATAGTGGGATTTGAAGAAAATTGCAAAGAAAGTGTTGCCGGAAGGTCCGCATCGCATGAAAGATGGAAAGGTATGTCGACTAGCTGGCTGTATTGTCTAGAATGGACTGTCAAGATATACTAGCTGGCAGTATTGTGTAGAATTGACTGTCAATTTACACTAGCTGGCAGTGTTGTGTAGAGTCGACTGTCAAGCACTGCATTGAAGTATGACATGAGCACGTTCTGGAATCCTCTCAACATCGCCTTGTTTGTGTAGTCTAAGCGCACCTTTCTGACCCCTTTTCTTTGCTTTACCATTGAAGTCTCCCATTTTTGCTGATTCTGTTGCTGTTGGTCTCGTATACTGCCTCTTTGCTATCATAGCTGGATGGGCCTATGATACTTCAGCTGAAGAAGATTCAGAATATCTCCGTGGCGTCAGCAAAGCAGAACAAGCCTTCATCGAGTGGACTAGGTCGGTGTCTTCGCTTGACTCTGTCCGATGGTCACCAGGATTGTCGTGCCTTGGAAGTGCAGGCAATGCAAGACCTCAGGTTTGTCTCTGTTCTGCATCGCATTGGCTGCTTGATTGGCTGCAGTGGAGCCTCCGAGTATTGAAGAAATTTGCATTGCTGCATGTGCCAATACCGGGTTGTGTTTGTGTACAGATCCTAGCATGCAATCGAGATAAACACGTTGCAGAGGTGTGCATCTACCCCTCGTTGAGGGTGTGCTGCTGCATATGCTGCGTTTGCTTGAAGCAAAGGAAGAGAGTGAGGCGAAGTTGTTGAGTGTCGTTACTGTTGTATGATCGTTTTTTAAATATATTTTTTAACCTGAGTAATCAACTGGAAATCAATCGTACCGTGTGCCTGTCTTTTCTGGTGTGTCTTGTGTGCTACAGTGTTGACTTGCCCCCAGGTACGAAGATCTTGCTGACCGGCGAGGTGGGAGTTCACGGTGGTTTCATTCACCTCACACCGCACTCTTGCAAGGTTCTTGGCGGACGTGTTGAGCACCTCTACACAAAGTGGAGTCTTACTCGGGTATGCTGCTGCTGCTGCTGCTGCTGCTGCTGCTGCAGCTGTTCATGGTGTTTTATTTATTATTTATTTTATTTTACAAAGACCACTTAGATGCCGAACATGAGCAGCAGCTAGGGAAGCACGCACAACATGAATCGTGGCAGTTGTGGTGAGGTTTAGGGAGCTCCGCCGTTCTGGGGTGTCGACTTCATGGCAACCTAGACATACTTTGCTATGGCTATTTGTGCATGCGCTAGACTGCGTCTGTTTTCGCTCATGTCCTGTTGCATGTGCTTGCCAACCTTGTCTGACTTCTATTTAGCCTGCTGGGGTTGTGAAGCTGTCTGATGTACGCGATTCTGGTGCAACTTATCACTTCCTTTAGACTGAGTGTCTGTTTTGTGATAACATCTGCTGTCGTCTTCTTGCTTTTGTTTTCTAGAGTGTTGCCGAGCAAGTGCTGGTGCGCAACGAAGGCGACAGTGGTCCTCCACCATTCATCGCATTTGATAAGGTGTGCTGCCTAGATTGATAATTGTATTGCTTGCACTTTATAATACACCACATAAATACCTTCGGACTATCATCTATAAGTTAGCTCCTGGCCAGACATGCAGACAGATAAACAGGTAGATAGACAGATGTACAGCCTGGCCTAGGATAGGCAGTTGTTATTACTCCACGTTGTCCCAGCTACAAGTACTGATTATCCCCGAATATAAGTCTCGCCCTTTAAAAAAAAAAAAAAACTTCAAGGGCAAAGAAGATGATGCGACTTACTTTCGAGTGTACCAATCTACTGTTGTACTGATGTGAATATATTGAAACAGAATGGCTGGAGCCTGAAAATGGGGTTATGACTTTTTATAACCAAATTCAACTTTTAATGGGGGAACTACGGTATCTGTTACTGGCTTGTCTCAGCGGTTCACTAGATTGAGTGAACTGTGTGCCAATGTTCTGCCTTGTAATTGCATGTGTGCATTTTGCTCATAGGCTGTAAAAGCAGGAATTGCAGGAGTCGCCTCGTCCCGCACGACCACCAGCACACAAGGATCTACTTCCAAGGCTTCTAACGGCTCGTCCACGTCTGCAACAGGTACTGTGTTCTCTGTTGAACGAGCCGTTTATGCGCCGGCAAGAGTCTACGCTCTATAGCCCCAAGAGTATGGAACTGTGGTCCCTTTTCTATGGTCCAGCTGCGCAGTGCACTGCCTTCATTACATCAAGCAACTGCATTCCGTGCACTACAGAAATCAAGCGCCACACTTTACCTGTCATTCGAAACCGACTTTCGTACGAAAATCGAGTTCAGGAACCCACAGTTTAGGGTAGAATCGTGTCAACACTCAAATGAATCCAGAAAAACCAGTGTGCTGGTATGAGAGCTTGTGGGCTTGAGTGCATGAGTGCAAGGTGTGATGCAGGCAAGTTACATAGTCAAGGCAGCACGCTGTGCACTGACCCATGATCACAGCTGCATACTCTTGTTAGGGCGCGCTCACACTGCGACCAAAACCAGCGGCCATGCAGCCAAGTTGCATGGCAACAGCATGAACATGACCAAAACGTCGCGGCCACGTTTCAAATCGTGACCGCGATCTCCGGAGGGGGTGCCACGACTTGGCGGCAACATGATCGTAGACGTGAAGCGTATTTGTGTACAACCTGGCCTGAAGTATGTTCAATTTCTCAAATTCCGGTGTGTTGATTCATGAAACTCGGCGGTTGTCGATGTCATCCTCGACATTTGCACATTTTTAAAATTTTGTATTTGTGGTCCTGCACGCACGCACCGCCATATTCTTTGCCCTTTTTGGACGATGTCAATTTTGTTTTTGTAGTTGCTTTGTTGTCAGTTGATCGGGTCAGTGACCAATTTCTACAGTGTACTCGTTCAATACGATGGAAGCTTGGTCTGGCTTTTCGGTTTGGGAAATCATCTTTCTCTACTTTTCTGCGATGATGGAATGCCATACCTCAAGACATTTCAGTTACATATCATCGGAAAATACAGTTCTCATCTCGGCAACGGACAAAAGAAACCACTACCGAAATTTCCACTGCACTGGCACTTGCTCTGACCACGAGGTCAGGAAAGCGAAAGCGCTTGGATGTCAGCGGCAGCCCCTCAAGAGTCCGAACCTACATGATTGTATGAATTATTTTCATCGACTTCAAGAATACGAGCCACGCGGCCACGAGGCACTTCCAACATGCAACATGCAATCAACTTTATTAGGAAACGCACGAACTCTTTTGGATACGAACTGCAATTCGGAAGTTTGTGTGACAACTTCACGTCTAGGCGTGTACAAGGTCTAGTGTGAGCACGACTGCCACGTTTCTGCGTTTTGCTGACGCATGGACGCGTGCTCATAGTCGCAGTGTGAGCGCGCCCTTATCGGGCATCTAGTGTACCTGTCGTAAATGCTGCACACGTAGCCTAAAATCTAGACCTCCTTTGTATGAGCAATGTTTTTTTGTTTTTTTCTCAGTCTAGAGAGCTCTCGAACTTCTATCGTATGACCATACGGGGGGGGGGGGGGGCACATGTTGGTTTCTCAGTCCATACGACTGTCATGTACACTTTCTACAACAATGCGGTCACATGACACAAGTTGTAAAAACTACTCTAATTTCAGAAATTTTCGGTGCTCAATATTTTCTGTATGAGAGCAAAAGGCCAGGTTAGGTGAACAGAAATTTTCGGTACAGAGAAGCAGTTCCCTATTGGGTTATGTGTGTTGGTGTTTGTTCGGTGTATTGAAATTTTAGGTATGAAACAGATGCACCGAAAGTACCGAAAATAAAAGTACACCGAAAATTTGTGAAATTACAGTACTCTATTTGTCTTCAGGTATCAACTGATTTCGGTCCAGCGAGCAACAATAGATTGGGGCAACACGCGGAACCTAACTTATGAGCCAACTGTTCATGTTTCGGACAATTTAGGTAGAGGGGACAGATGAGGATGCTTGAAATCGAATTAGTCTAGTACAGACAGCCATGACCTTCTGGGTGTGCAGTGACCGGAGGGCATTACTCTCGCGTACATACCGCATGAGAAGCACTTTCCAAAGGATCAGTCGGGGAAATGAACTGCCTGAAAAGAGAGAAAATGTCAACCCCACCTGGACTCAATAGATGAGCCCACTTCTATCAATTTTTCAAAACATTGCGAATGTGTCAGATTGAATTACGTAGATTTTGCTGATGTACTCGCATGCTGCGAGAAGACCGGTAACACTCACTCTTGGTGAGTTTCATACCATACCAATATCTACATCTACCCACCCTTTCACTGCTACTGGAAGACCGATTACTGCAATGGCTTCAGCAATGAAAAGTCTCATTTTTCAATTTAGATCCTCAGAAGATACCGCTATCACTGTCTGCATGCTGGGTTGAAAAATCTTTGAAATCCATCTCTCTTCATCTCTCTCTCTCTCTCTCTTCTCTTTTCTCTCTGGGCCTGTAGGAAAACCGAGTGAGTCGTCATCTTCCAAGCCCTCCAATGGTAGCAGCAGACACACAGCCGCGTCGTCGGCTAGTGCTGGGCAAACTGGCCATTCGGCAGCAGCCGCCACCGGGGCGGATGGGAAGCGAGGGGCGGCTGCAAAACCTGCGTCAGATGGCCATCGGCACGAACGTGACTCCAGACAGCAGCAGCAGCAGCAGCAGAGACCGAGGCATCCTGGTGGCACTGGCCATGGGAGCGCTGATGAGCCACAACGACATGACAGGGGCGGGCGTGCTGGCGGTCGTGGTAGAGGTGGTGCGCCGCCATCCAGTGCCAGCGCATCTTCAGCGGCAAGGTATGACGAGTACGACAATGGTCACAGAGACGACTATTCGCAACATCAACGTGGTGGCCGAAGAGGCGGTAGAAGAGGCAGAGGCGGTTATGCTGATGAACAACAGCATGGTTACGATGGTCGCAACCACTCGGCCAACAACTTTCGTGATGACGTATCACCATCATCATCATCCTCAGCAGCAGCAGCAGCAGGAGCTACAGGGTATGACGATGTTGGTGATCATTATCATGCTGGTTCTGGTGGAAGAGGTCGGGGCGGCAGGGGCCAAGGCCGTGGTGGCAGAGGTAGAGGAGACCGGGGTGCACGTGATGATCACCGACAAGGTGATGACGGTGGTGATGGTGGCATGGACGGTCGGCGTAGAGGTTAGTTATATTCGGCAATGTCTTGTCTATTATTAGAACTCGCATCTTGAGCCAATATTATGTACATGTAAAGAGAAAGGACCAATAAATTACTAGACTACCTAGTTCGTTACCTTGGTGGACTGTTAGTAATAGCTCGGTAACTTATTGGTCCCTTCTCTTTAATAATGTCTTATTTGATTGTTTCTTTACATTTCCGCTGCTTCAAACTGTGTGGGCCTGACACCTCCAGTCGTGTTACCTGTAGTATGATTTGAGTTTGCTAATCTAGACAAAGGAAATTGCCAGCACGATTTAAAAATGTAGATGGCTGTGCACTCTATTTGAAGTGAGACTGGGAGAAACGTACCTGCCAGAGTACAGTGCACTGCTTTCAGTACACCAGGTAGTCATGTACATGTACTAGCTACTTCCTAGATCCCTATAGCCAGTGCGGTATGGGCAGTTCTGATCTGCAAACAAATGTTGTAGATCCCTGTAGCCAGTGGGGTATGGTTTAGTTCTGATCTAGATCCCTGTAGCCAGTGGGATATGGCTAGTTCTGATCTAGATCCCTGTAGCCAGTGCGGTATGGGCAGTTCTGATCTGCAAAAAAATGTTGTAGATCCCTGTAGCCAGTGGGATATGGCTAGTTCTGATCTAGATCCCTGTAGCCAGTGGGGTATGAGTAGTTCTGATCATGCAGTCTTCACTCTGCAGGTCGCAAGGTTCGCACATGCGATCGATCGAAATGGAACGGTAATAAAAATAAAATCGGCTGGAGTGCTGTCTTGGCTGAAGCCGGCAGCTGAAGTTGTGTTCCAGAGACAACGCGATCGCATGTTAACTTCTTTCTCCGCAAACACGGAAAATAGTATCCTTTAATAACAAATCGTTACTGTGTGCCGTTTTCACTACAGGTCGTGGTCGCCGTAGAGGTGACGATGACGACGATGGCGATTCCGGCCGATCGGCCCAACCGGCCACGCTCTGGGATATGATGGAAGCGTCCATGAGCAAGAGCAGTAAGTAGAGCTCCTATCCTGCAAGTTTTTTGTTTCTCTGGACCTTCAACGGTTTACCCCTGATATAATTATTGCGATAGACCAGTTGCGCAAACGGGAGCCGGCGCCCGGGCGTCGCGGATATGAAGTGCTTGGAGGACAACCACTCGAGATTCAGACCGCTGCATTTTCACTTTTTGTTGCAGGACTCTTACTTTTTTTAGTTGTTGAGCGATCTAGCAGTGATGGTGGATTTTTGTTGCGTTCCCAAGTGCCACAGTCGAAGTACCCGAGACAAAGTGTCCTTTTCTCAGGTTTCCGAACCCAGAGCAACAGGCGGGCTTGTATAAAAGTTGGGTTCAAGCAATAAAGCGTGAGAAATTTACGGCGCAGAGTCACACCAGAATTTGTGGGAAGCATTTCCGACAGGAAGATTTTGTTTTCAAGGGGCTCACTGGAAAGCGTCGTCTGGTTCCGACTGCAGTACCGTCCCTGTTTCCGGATTGGCCAACGCATCTTCAACCCCCTGCTAGTGTTCAGTCGTCTCGCCGTGTCCTGAAGCTTAAAAGAGCTGACTGTGACTTGGATGAAACGGACGTTGACAACACGTGTGATCTCTCTAATCACGACGACGGCAGTGGCGATGGCGGCGTGAACGATAGTGCCGGAGAAGCGATACCAGAGCCACCAGAGCCCAACAAATCTGCCTGCGGAGCTCAGAATGATCATGGGGGCTACGCCAAGGTTCTGGCGAGCAGTGCTCCAGATTCCAGAGAGGCGTACATTCGTGAGCTTGAGCAAGAAAACGAGATTCTGAGGAGGAAATGTCTGAGTCTGGACATGCTGAGGAGAAGCGATGATGACACTCGGCACTTCACAGGTTTCGAAACCTATGCTACGTTCAAGTGTGTGTTTGAGTATTAGGAGCCTCTGGCATGTAGAATGAAGTACTAGGGTGATGCGCTTTCCCGGCGACCTTCACTTTCAGCTCGCAGCAATCGCCGTGAGAGAAAGCTGGAACTAGAAGAATAATTTCTTGCTGTGATAGTTCGTGTGCGGTGTGGCTACAGGAATAGAGATGTAGCGAAATTGTTGGGACCGTCTCCTACAAGGTTTTCGCATATATTCAACACCTGGATATGCCTCATGGACGATGTACTGCAAGATGTGTGCAAATTTCCATCCAAGGAATCTATTGCAGACACTCTACCGCCATGCTTTTCTGCATTTCCGACGACACGTATAGTCATCGACTGTACGGAGGTGTACTGCGAGCAAGCTTCTTCTTTGGCGGCTCGCAAACAAATGTACTGCAACTATAAGCACCATCAAACGTTCAAGTTTTTGGTCAGTACAGTCAACTTCGCTAATAACGACTGCGGATATAACGACAATTCGCGAATAACGACCGAATTTCCATGCCCAGAGCAAAGTCCCATCTAACTGTATACATTTAACTTCGGATATAACGACTATCTGAATAACGACAATTCGCGTATAGCGACATGCTTTTAGTGCCCCGAGGTCATATTCACTGCTTGAATAACGACTTTCTGGGCTTTTGACAGCTATTTCAAGTACCTGTCAGTCAAGTACATGTACCTAGTACCTGTCATGCAGAAGTACCAGAACCTATGGTGATGGATATTATTATAAAGGCACACATGCAAGAAAATGCAGCCAAAGGGGGGGGGGGGGGCTTTTTCTTCCTTTTTTTATGTTGGCTTCAAAATTGTTGGATTTACCAGCACACCTATAATATTATGACTGTATACAATGTACATGTAGTTGTACATGATTGTACAGTAATCATCATACATGTACATGTCTCTGGCCCTGTAGATGGCTCAAAAAGGCATATTTTTCAATTGATTTCCTTGCATATTGAATTTTTAGTTCCTTTCAACTGCAATATGAAAATAAAGTACACATTGACATAGAGCAAGAAAAGAGCTTGATTTTGATATGCATGTCATACTATACAAAAATATGGGTTCACATACATTCAAATGGGACTTTGGTTATAAGGACACTTCGCGAATAAGGACACTTTTCTGTTGCCCCGCCGAATGTCGTTATTGGCGAAGTTGACTGTATTGCACCCAGTGGATACGCGTCTTTCGTATCGGATATCTGGGGCGGCCGTGCCAGTGACAAGTGCATCACCCTTTCTTCTGAGCACGACTGTACAAGCCAGCTATTAATACCGTACCGTCGTACACGACTAACGGGTACTCGTTTGCTAACGGATCAGCAGTTAAACAGGCGGGCACCCGGGTACCCGGATCACCCCTTTTACCCCTAGTTTTACGGTTCAATGTACAGTTTGAATGTGTTGTTGCTGGTTCGATCCTGCTACATATCAGGATCTCCAGAATATGGGGAGAGATGCTATCAGCCAGATCCGCTTCAAAGTCAGCACCCGTGGCGACGGCATCTATGTCAGTGTTGACTGTAACATGACTACGCAAGCACTTGAAGCCAGTAATGCCACATACTGAGGCAATAGCAAAGTCACACCTTAGTGGATCCAAAATAGAAATCTGATGTCAACTTACTACTCCCAGGCCGTTTTTGACGTCCTCACTTTCAAGCCCTATTGCCCCTATTCAATGCCGTGGTATGCTAGGTTTACTGCAGGTGATATCTCTGCAAGGTGGGGCGGGGCATCACTGGTTCGGCATATTACTGCATGTGTGCATGCAATAATTGTTTGTGTATTATCCCTTCCTTCCCTGTGTTAGCTGCTAAAACGTTCAAATCGGCAGAACCGGCAGATGTCTTACCGGACTTGGAGCAACTGAGCCTTGGTATGTCACATGTTAGCCTTGGTATGTCACATGTTAGCCTTGGTATGTCACATGTTAGCCTTGGTATGTCACATGTTAGCCTTGGTATGTCATATGTTAGCCTTGGTATGTCACATGTTAACGCCTGTGTTGTAACTGTTGTAACTTTAGACAACAATGATGATATTAGTTTTATACCATGGTACGGTGCGGAGGGCCTGTTTTCAGCCAATCAGCGCTCGTCTAGCCATGGTTATATAGGCCAGTATGAATCCCGCGCGGGATTTATATTGAATATAAATCCCGGTGCACGGTACGTACGCTAGGGCACTGCCACCGTACAAGCTCACTGCCTGAAAGGCAGTGAACTATTACTTGTACGACGGCAGCACTCCAGCGCACGGACCATTCACAACAGACACAACATGCACCACATGCACGTGTACACTCCACACAGAACGGTATGATGAGGAACAGTACACAATGGAAAAGAAGAATGACCTGGAATTCGTCTACCGAGTATTCTACACGTATTATACTGAAACTGAGGATAAAGAACGTCAAAAAACCACGAAGTATCCCGAATGGGTCAGCAATGTACATTGTACTTCAAATAGTTGAAGATCATCAACAGACTGTCTCCTTCGTAACTAAGTTTATGATACAGAGTGTACTTCAAATCCACCTAAACCGGAAAAACGCTAGAATGGATTGAAATGTGATACAGTGATACAAAACAGTGTATGCAAATGCATCTACTTGCAAGTAAGCAAACCTGATTATAAGATGCCGCATGTGAAAATCAGCACTGTACCATAATCATGATAATAGTAACACTTACTCCCAAAGAGTCCAAACTGTACTGTAGTCTAACTAGTGACGGTAGTTTGATTCAACGACAACTCCAGCACCCCAGCAATTCAGTTGACTTCCGCATCGCTCACGAGACAATATGCTACAATATGCACTGGAACTGAAAGGAAATCTGATGCCAAACATCCACGGAGGAATCTCCTTCTGATCTTGCTCGACCATTCTTTCAACTGATCACCAGCAGAACATGTTCATGTACTGTATGATGTAGGAGATCTCCAAATAGGTTCGTTGTTCTGGAAATGCGTAGGGGTACCTGGCATAAGTAGGACATGACCCTCGTAGTCGGGTTATACCGTACCCTCATATAAATCCCTCCTGCTATCGCAGTCGGGATTTATATTCAGCCGGTATAACCCTCTGACAGGGGTTATTTCCTCTACGTACGTACCTAGGGTTAGAGGAGAGGAGCGAAAAAAACCAGGCGTGGCAATTTAATACAGCATATGAAGGCTGGATGTGAGGGGTGATGATGATTTGCGGGATGAATATAAAGCCTTGTTCCACTGCTGACTTGTTTCATTTGGATCTGCCCTCTCAGTATCAAGCACTATTGCAAGCATATTGCAGCCTAGCTTGTACCCGGTAATGATAATGTGTCAGGGATGAATTTACTGTCATGTTTTTGCATAGCAGTTTTTGCTATGCAAAATCTCAATTGTGGCGTAAGCATGGATAGCCTGTACATGTATGTATCGCAGTTTTCTGTGTGTCACTGTGATTTTTGAGTAGCAGTAGATTGATTTTGCATAACTATATACAGTGGTCCCTTTATAATCCGACGCCATTTGTGCAATGGAAGTTCTGCTGGATTAGCGAGGGTGCTGAATTAACTAATCTGATTTACTGCTGCAATGTGCATGAAGACATTTGGTTACTGAAAATTATGCTCGCTTATAGAGGGTGCTGGTTTATGAAGTGCTGGATTCAAGAGTGACGACTGTATGTATGAATGTATGTGCGTGTCTGTGTCTGTGTGTTTGCGCATGCATTTGAATCTTATCTATGCATACTGCAGCTCCAAATCAAAGTCTTTATGATGATCCTAGAGTTGACGGCAGTAGGCAGCGTACTCGATCCCCAGCACCCGCGACTTCCCATCATGAATCTACTGCACGGCCAAAACATCGTGCCGACACGAGGCACGACCGTGATCCTCGTGCCGACACGAGGTACGACCGTGATCCTCGTGCCGACACGAGGTACGACCGTGATCCTCGTGCCGACATGAGACACGATCGTGAGCCTCGTGCCGGCATGAGACACGACCGTGAGCCTCGTGCGGACATGAGACATACTCGTGACAGCTACCGAGATGACAGGGGACAGCGGCAGGAGCGTGCACAGAAAGTGGAATCGCGTTCACAACCTCATATCGATCAGCGCCAGAGTCAGAGGCAAGCTACGCATGATACCCAAAAGTCGTCATCGTCTCGCTCAGCAACTGCGGATGGCAGGAAGCATGCTGGCAAAGACAGTGGCGGCCCAGGCCCTGATGGAAGAAATGGCAGCCGTGATCATGATAACAGCACCTCTACAAGTACCAGCACAGTGGCCAAGGAAGGTGCTAAAGGCAACAGTCGACAGCAAGCTCAGCAACGGCAGGAACAAGGTGGTGGTGGTGGTGCTGCTGCTGCTGCTGCTGCTGTGCCTACGGCTAGCGACAGTTCCAAACACTCAACTAGCACTGGCAAGTCTAGATCAGGGAATGCTGGCAACAGCAACGGCAGCAGCAACAACAGTGATACTGCGGCTAGTGGTGGGAGAAAGAAGACCCCATCACAGGATGTACGGCAAGACACACACAAAGACACAAGGAGGTCTGCACAGAATGGTCGTAACAGAGACAATGGTCACGCTCCCAAAGAGGTAAGCATCGTCATTTTGAAATGCTTTCAATGTGTCAGTGGTGTGGTAGTCTTCATGGCAGGTGATCACATTGCTAATAGGCAAGAGAAACTACTGTGATAACATTGACACATCGGATAACAAAACACGAGAAAAGAAAAGAAAAATAGCTTGTTGCAGGTAGTACAGTATTTTTGTTTTATGCATTGTATCCATGGTTGGTGAGACTGGTGTGAACTTGCGAATAGCCTGCTGGCTAGTTCATGTGTTAATGTGCTACTGTCTGTGTCTGTAACCACTGTGCTGCTGCAAGTTTGAAACTGCCCGTGTGAGTAGTGAAGGCAGGCAGTTCAAGCAGTCAAGCTAAACTTGCCTGTGATGTTCAGTAGAGTTAGCCTCAGTTTGGTGAAGAGGGTGCCCGTGAATGACAGTGTACTGAAAACAAAGAAGAAGTACAAGTACAGTTATTGTGGCAGTGTGTGTGTGTGGGTGTGGGTGTGTGTGTGTTTGTCTTGTGACTGAGTCATGTCACCTGGTTTTCTGTTGTACTGCGGCTCTCTTCCAGACTGCTCAGCGCGGACAAACTCAGGCACGTCCGCCCGCTCAGCCAGTTGTGCCTACTACTAGCCGAGCTGACGGAGAGTCACATTCAAAGTTTAGCAACCATCCGCCGCCTAGCAGTGCCCTTGCTAGCGCTCTGTCCAAGAAGTCCACAGATAGGATCAGAGTTATCTCCCCGAAGACCGTTGCCACTGCCGGCCAGGCACAGTCCACCCAGGAGCCAAGTCATGGTACAGCTGAAGCTGCTAGGAAAGCCACTGCGCCTCTGAGTGGAGCCGGGAACGGCCAGCAGCACTCGAGTACGTCCACCGCTTCTGCAGCAGCATCTCACAAGCACACGGCCGCTGGTCAGTACACGGGTAATGATAGTCGTGGTGCTACCGGCGGAGCGTCACGTGTATCCACTCACAGGCATGCTGCACCACCACCAGGGTTTCAGCCAGTCGGCGCGTATCAAGCGCCATTTCCCGAGCAGCCTGCTCATATGCCAGCTGCAGCCGGCAGCCAGCAGCAACTACAGAGGGTACCTTACTATGTACCGCCGCGTACGCAGCAGCAGCAGCAGCAGCAGCATCAGCAACAACACCAACAACAGCAGCAGCAGCAGCAGCAGCAGCAGCAGCATGGGCATCCCAGTCACTTCCAACACCAGCAGCCTTTACAACATCATCAGCAACAGTTTCCTCCCGGCAACTATCCCAATCAGCAACAGCAGCAGCACGGTGGAAGTTTGTTAGGATACCCACCGGGTGCTGGTCAGCAATTCTCAGCTCCTCCTTATCATACCCAGCCACCACCAGGTCAATCTGGCCCTGGCTGGTTGCCTAATCGACAGCCCCATTATTGATCATTTTGATCACAGTGCATTCTGCTATTTTTCAGGACGTTCTCCCTACCCATGTTGTGTTCTGATTGTGTATGTATCTCATCCTCTGATGAAATTTATCCTTTTCCTATTGTCCTCGGACGGATTTGCTTAGAATATCAGCGCTCCAGCACTGTCTAATGCTATCGATTTCCAGACATTTTTCTTTGAAGAGTAAACACGGATTCCTATTACCTACGGCAGTCTATTTGATGTGCTGTCATGGCCGCACTGCCACTGATCCACCTCTGTGTTCACAGTTTTACATGGTTCCTTGCCAATTCATCGATCACCCTGTCCACACAGTCTGACATTGCCGTAGTCTCTCTTCATACACACATCTATCCGACGCCACTTTTCAGCCTTCTCATGATCACACCCCCCGACTCGACGTAGTAAGCAGGGCTGAGGGTAATCTTGAACTTTAGTGTCCCAAATTACTGTCCACTGGCAGCCTATGAAATGCATATCTGATGCGACCCTGCTCTTTCTGGCAGATAGACCTTTCTTTTTTCCAAGAATCTTGCACACACTGATAGTAAGCAAGGTGTGGTATTGCAACAAAATAGCCGGTAGCTCAACCAAAAACTTGTGGGTTGCCTGATGATCAACCCATCTGAGACAGATAGTTTGCCTGGACGGCATATCGAATTTCCCCAGCATTCAGAACTATTAATTTTGCTTTTTGGCTCCAGCATGTTTCTTGCACAATGTCCAAATAGCACAGCAATCCAACATTTCGCATGAGACTGATTTTTCATGAAATAGAAGACGCATAAACAAGATGCTGAGTAAAAGGTTTCAAAGTGAAATGCTTGGCATGCAAGAGACTGCCTGCTGACCTCTGCCCAGAGGCTATCTGAATGCATGACCTCTTACCTCCATCCAGACTGTGCATGCCTTTCGTCACAATACTCTTTGTTGTTCTATGCATTGTGTTTATCCTGTATACCAGATGGGTTGTTGTTATGGTTTGTATCCAGGACAACTGAAATGACCGTGGTGCGTGCTGGATAGCTGGATAGAACTACACTACAGTACAGGTGCAGGACACAAGGACAAGGCCCTGAGTGTTGTGGACAAATGGTAATAATTATTGTAATTAATTTTATTAAATCTACAAACAGCACAGGGAATCAATCAGAAGCTGAGATACATCAGTGCAGTAAAGTAAGTTGTCTAGCTTGTTCAAGTAGATGTTAGCTGGTAGACTGGTAATCCTGTCAGCTTGGTTGAACTGCTCCAAACCCGGGAGGTAAGTGCCGCCCCATGTCACAGTGTGATGCAGTGTGTCACAGTGTGTCACAGTGTGATGCAGTGTGATGCAGTGTGATGCAGTGTGATACAGTGTGATGCAGTGGTCTCTTTTGTGTGTTAGTTATGATTCCTGGAACATTATTGTTTTTTTCCTACCTCTGTGTCAAGCTGTTCACAAGAGCTGAGTGAAGACTCTGGCCCACATGCAGCTCCTGCCGGGGTTTGTTCAGGTCAGTTTTATACAGTGTTTTATCAGTCCTGTTTAGGTCACTCACTACTAGTACTACTAGTGCATACCATTGCATACCATTGCATGCTCACAGGAGTCGCGTTTTCACCGTGAGTTGCAGATGAGTGAGTCCAAGGCCAAGTGGCCAGCTCTCTAATACACTAGCCCAGCATGCATTTCACAGGTTTGTGCAGGCGCGTGCACCGTATGAGTTTTTTGGTGTCTGGAAACCACCTTTTTCGGGCAAGCTTGCCAAAGGAAAAACGTGCCTACTGGATTGGTTATCGTGCATACGCGTCGATCGACGGACAGTTTACAGTACAGTGACTATGTCCTTCTTTCGAAGTGAGAGAGAGAGAGAGTCGCTTTGCATGCAGTTCGAAATACATTGTTCTCTCTTTCTTCAGTGGAGAGTAGCCACCGAGAGATCGATCTCTAGCTCTGGTCCGCTCCTGGATTGGTGATGGCGTTGAAGAAATCCGTTTTGTCTCGAAATTTGAGTCAAGCACGCGCGATGCAAGTCAGTTCAAGGATATGATTGACGATATCTCCTTCCAAACTGTTGACTCAAATCAAGATCTCCACAGCCTTTCGTTCTCGCTCATGTGCGCAGCAGATATGTTCGTCAAAAACGTTGTCGACTGGAAGACGTAAAAATGTGCGTCCATGATCCACTAGCGCTGCTTCAGAACGGAGCGCTGCTCCGGCCGCGACTCAAGGACGCGGGGCTTCGCTTTTCTTCCGCGAGTTTCCATCGAAGCAATGTCCATAACTTATTATTGAAATCATGTGGAACACTGCCGATACATACTGAAAACTTCATCGTACGGTATTAAAGAACAGAAAGAAAAATACATGAAGTTGATTGTTCGTAAAGAAAAATACGTCGAATGTAAGCAGTGTTTTGATGAAACGAACATGCCTGGAGTGGACTAGTGAAGTACCTGTTATAGACTGTACCAAGAGTACATAAACCGGAGTGTGCAACTGTGCATATCAGATCTGAAACAGCGCAGTTCGTGCACTACGTCACCTTGATGAGGTCAGTCAAGCCGCGACTTGCATACAGCTCAAATTTTCATGTTTCATAGCCCGGAAATCAGCCAAGTTTGCTTGATTTTAGACGTCCTGTTTCAGGATTTCGGTGTTTTGTGTGACTGTGTACGCTGCGTACATCCACCGACAAGTAAAGTCACCAGGCTATCCGTCTCAAAAAACCGAAATCAGGACTAACTCAGTGAACTGCACCACCGCGACTGGTTACGCAACTTTTCACCGTACCTGTGGCTTACCATGCCGTCAGAAATGACGTAGTGCACGAATTACGCTCCCACAGGAGCCATCCCGAGTTGCACACTCTGGTTTATGTACTCTTGGCTGTACATTTAGTGTAGCCCGGGCGGCGCGGCTAGGCCTATCAAACTTTTACGTGTTGAAAATGACAAACATGAGTACATTGACTTTCGCACCCTCTTTGCAAATATGTGCTGATATGTAAAAGGTAACCCGTTTTATCCTGCTACCGGTGATATAATGTACATGTACTAACATTTCCATGCAACATCATACCCTCCCTCCATTCCTCATTACCGTCTTATTTCTGTTCTTTCTACCCCTGGACCTGGTTCCCTCTCAGACGTGTTTGTGCCGGCATGATAGCAGTCGGAGGAGCCCCACATGCACATCTCACCAGCATCAGTGTATATTGGTGCCCTGCACCGCTGACTGAATCTTGATTCCCTAGCCCTCACCGTTATCTTCGACGGGATGTTCGGGGGATGCGCATGTGCACAAATACAGTGGGTCTCCAGAAAAAAATTTACCAACTCTAGAAACCCCCCTTTCAAGACTCGGTGCACACCACTGTTGTGTGCATATTGGGTGCTACCCGAAAGAGTGCTGAGATCCACCTCCGGAGCTCCATGTGCTCTTGGCAGCACCATGCATATAGCCAGTCTACACTGCCCCCTACTGCTCCTGGATCTGCAGCGTGGCAGATGATGCAGATGTTGTGCAATTAGATATTATGGAAAGTCCTCCAGCATCATCATTCCAATCAGAGCGACAGCATGCCACTGATGGCCCACTGACCCTGGATCATAGCCCAGACACTCATTGTGTGAAGGTAAAGCACCGCGCTGCATTCCTGACCTCACTGCAGCACTGTACTGTGCTTAGCTTGAAAAACCTATTTTCTGGCACCCACATTATGGAACTATCTGAGTGGAGTGGACTCCATCAAAACCAAGTGTTGCCTCATCATCATTAATTATAAATTACTTGGCTCTGCAGCAACGCAACCTGAAGAGGAGAATATCTTTGTTGGTGGGCAACAAATTGAATTCCTTCTGTGCTTCTTTCATTATGTGCTAAGCAAGGAGGGTTGGAAGAGCTGTTTGAGTTGCAACCCTCAATCATGCCTGTACGACAGTCCTGTCTGACTTAAGCTTCAGTGATAGCTAGCTGGCAGAGGTGATTGTTAGGCCAGAGCTCTGCTCAGTCAGTGGGTCAATGATGGCAATCCGTCAAGGAGCATGGACCAGATGTTACCTGAGATTCTCTCATTAATACCAACCCGTGACGGCACCAGGCCTCCTTGGCCTTCCTAATAGTCATCCATGCGCTCGTGGCTCTTGTTTTTTTCGGCCAGAAGCATTCTGGGGCAGCTCAACCCCAATGGCAGTGGGAGTGCTGTAGCATTATCATAGCGGTGGCATGACTGGTGTAGCCAGGGAGCTCTGTAGCATCATCAAGTTCAGGCTTTCTTGTCCTATGCCGCACTGCAAACTGTGCACCCTGGTGCTGGTGCAGGTGCAGTGCCAGTGCCAGTGGCATAGTGTCATGCCACCATACTGTGACACTCCGCTACATGCACACCAGCTCAGAGTGCTAATCGCAGTCGTACTCCGCGATCCGCTCTGCTGGCAGGTGCTACTCACAAGAAACATTACCGATGAGTGTGGTGCTGTGCCATGAGGTGGCTCTCTGCGGTGGGAACCATACAACTACTGGGTATGGTGGTACACTAATGTGATTGTCACAGTGTCAGCAAGCAAGTAAGATGTCCCATGCTGGAGTATGGAGATTCCCCAATATTACTTAGTAGGCTCAATTAACCTGCTTGCTACCCAGGTCGATAACCGTGCTTACTCCGGGGACTGAAGATTCTCGGATTGCAACGCTTGGTCCTTGCACAGCGATTAGCTTTCTCCATGTGTTCATAAGGCAATTGCTTATCACAAGATATAATTATGCTGTTGTCATATCGTCTGCGGAGGTGTCATTGCAGTTTCCTTCCCAGGAATAGAAATGAGTTGAGTGCCGACGAAGCTCTGAAGTCCAGCAGATTGCTGCAGCTAGACCATGGTACTACATGCCAAGAGTGGACATGCGGTAGAATGATTCTTCCTTTCTCCACACAGTGTTCAATACCAGAAAGGGCAGGGCTTCCTTACAGTACAAATACTCGGGACCACCAGAATTGAGTGGCAAAATATCTTAGACATGCCAGTACATGTATTTGGATACATCATAAAACGTGTACCGGTATCTATGTTGGCCTACATCAGGTCTGAACACAGTGGAGTGGCAAGTGGCTGGTGAAGGGAGTACCCAAGCAAAACGGTTCCTCCCCGTCCTCGGGCATGTCGTCCATACTGCAGGGGCCCGGGGGGGGGGGGGGGGGGGGGGGGAGGGGGCAGCAGCCCCATGAGAGCTCTTGGGTATCCACAACCCTGCGGTAGTCCTAGTCTGGGGCATACAGAGCTGTGGCCTATTGTATCACCACTCTCAGGCAATCTAGGTTCATCATCAGTACCACACTCAGTGAAATAATAATAAAATATTAGTGGACCTAAGGAAAACGTGCTAGGTTGTGAATCTGGAACACATGGATAACTTGAAGGCATGGAATATGACTCTCACTGATGAACAAAGAAGGCTTGCAGTTTGACTGATTGCCATCATGTGAACGTCTTCTGATTACCTGCAGGTTTGGCAGGTCTTGCAGCTAATCAGGTTAGATGATAGTCTCACTGCTCGCATTCCACAGTGCTGTGCGGATGGCGCTCATCTTTGCTCTGTCCACAACAACACGTGTATCATGTGACAATGTTTTGAAGGTACTTCGCCAAGAAGCTACAGGAGCAAGTGGCCGCTTATGTACACGTACTTTTGAAGCATCTTCTAGAAGGGGAAAATGGCCGCCGAGTAACTTTCATGTGCTTCATGAGTATATTGTGACAGTTGTGGTTGGATTTGTGCAGGGAGCTATTTGCCCTTTTAATATTACTCGAAGAATCCCGTCTGGGATACAAATACCTTGGTCCGTCCAAGGTGAGACGCGGTAAATGCGTTTGCGTAGTGACTATCATACCGCCGTCACCCCTGCTAGCATAATTATGCTTCTCGTGTCCATACACTATCATGTATTGTGGGTGGCATGGCCAGACAAGAGTGGACCTCAATGATCCCTCTGTCTCCTGTCGGAAGTTCTCCTGTCCGGTGTAGTCGTGTACTCGTATGCCTGGGTGTAGATATGGCCGTGAGATTCGCTCAAGTCCTGGCCAGAGAAATTCGACCTCATGAATAGAATAGTGCTGGGCACTGCACGGCCCTAGCTCCACACACACACTACACTACTCATTGTACTCAAACGTAGCACTGCTTTATTCATGAGGGCGAATTTCTCTGACCAGAACTGTTATGTAGGTGTTGGAGAACTCCAGCACGATTTTGCAAGCGGCCCACAATCATGTACAACGTATTGTTCCTGTGACAGAATCTACTTTAGTGCATTCCTTGGGTACTTATACCTAATCCTCTGGTAATGATGTACAAGTCATGTAGATACATTGCTGTACAGCATCTTCGTACAATGGGCATTGTAATGGGTATTGACGTGTCAGTGGCGTTCTGAAGAGGTTGGTCTCAATTCGTCTTCTTTGATGTTACTCAGGATACACCGTGGTGTGCATGCAGGCGGCAATTCTGCACAGACCTCCAGGCGGCCGTACTAATGGTGTAACTATTCCCGCACGTCAGTGGGTGGAGATGATCAGTGGAGGTGATCAACCTCAGGGCTCTGTCTCAAGCCTTGCTGGCTATGGCCACAGTACCCGTGCGAGCAGCCCAACGACAGGTACATTGTCACAAGGAAATACATCATGTAGGCAAGTGATACCCGGCACGGTGATCATGGTACCAGGGTCAACCACTAGTGTATCTGTTTGTGAGCGACAGAGTGGACCTTGATTACTCTGTTAATACTGGCAGGGCTCTCTATTTGCTGTCAAAGGGATATTGGTGTGCAAGGGTTACATCACTTTCCTATCTGTGACCACACTCCATGCCTACTGCTCTCTTGGAATGGCAAACGCCTGGTGTGGTCTCCTGCTCTCTAAACATAGTGCTGCCATTGATTTCGGACGAAAGGGTCATTTTCACCGACAAAGTGAGTTTGTTGAGTGCTGGCCAGTTCCTGATGAGTTCTGTGCTTCCGGGTATGATTGCCCCGGGGGGAGGAATAAGCAAAGCGACTGCACGAGTTGCTGCGAACGTTGCTTCGTCACCCCTGAAAACGAACCTATTTTCATTAGGTGTGTGTGTGTGCATGTGTGTGTGTGTGTGTGTGTGTGTGTGTGTGTGTGTGTGTGCAGGGGGGGGGGGGGGGGTGGTCGAGGCAAACTCGCAAGTCGACCAATACGGCCATGTACTATGACAATCCTTGTGATTCATTCCACCCAGAAGAGTAAAACACTGTTCGTGTGCTCGGGGGGGGGGGGGGGGGAGAGGAGGAAGGGTGCCAGCGTTTGATGATGTGAATGATTTTCATTTCAGGAATTAAACCTTTGCGATGACCCCATGGTCTGGTTTCACATGAGGATTTTAAAACCAGGGTTGTGTTGGAGCTCTGCATGATTTGAAAGAAAGGTGGCTGCTTTCATGTAAAAGAAGGTTGACTCGAGGATGGCTGAACATTCTCTCTCTCCCTCCCACCCAGCCCTGTGTTTATTGCTCATTATGTAGCATACACTGTAACTCATGTAGTTTTCCTCACTGTTTATTTCTATTTGCATGATTTGCATCAGGAGATCCCCTCGACAGACCATCGCCTCTGGGAGATCCCTTAATAAAGATTATAATTATATATCCCTCCCTCCCTCCCTCCCTCTCCCTCTCCCTGTCCCTCCCTCCCTCCCTCCCAGCAGGTGAATGTGATTGACCTGCTTCCACGCCTTCATTTCACTCACCTTTTGTAGTAGCTCACACCGTTGGAACACTCTCACATCTTTTCTTTTTCTTTCTTTCGTCTTCTCTCCCACTTTAGTGTTTTTTTCCACCTCACCTTGTATACTTCCTACTATCCTATAGACGTATAAGTAGTTTGTTTCTCCGCATAGCTTCTATTGTGAGACGACTTTTCCCTGATGATAGTCTCAAGAATATCGATTAGGAACATCAATTTTAAAACATACATGTATTCTCATTGATCAGTTCATAATGTCCGCTTCGCTTATACTATTTATCGCCTTAATAAAGATAGGGCTCTGTGGCTCTATCATATAGCTTGAATTTTGCATTTAACGGGCAGCAAACAACGTGAACATGATCTTTATGTTCTTGCACGACGTGATAGCCTTTTAAAGATAGCGGCGAGCCATGAGAGTGGTACATGTATCAGAACAACAGTATGTTCATGGCCAATGTTCATCACACTCACACTCGTGCTTGTCTGACCAGATCTACGGATAGAGACGGGCAAAGTAACCATGGAGACTGGGTTCTGTTGTGCTGAAAACGTACTTGTACATGCACATTTGTGGACATACCTGTAGATGTACTGACATGATTGAGTAAGTACTAGTTCATGGTCGTCCTACACATTGTGAAACGGGCACACTGTATTATCTGCCTATTATGGGCATACATGTATCACCACTTCCGATATGGAAGTATTTTGCTCACTTTTTTTGTCAACAGGTATTGAACGTGCCACACTGGCTGGTCATTCTTTGTTAGGGTTTCCAAAGTAATGTAGCAACTTCTCCTCATTAGACAAAAACTACCAATAACAGTGTAAGTATTCACTCTCGACGCTGACAGCCACTTGTATCCCTGCAACCTAAACAAAAGAGGCCAACTCCAAGCCGAAAACGACTGTGCTTAGCCACATGCCCATATACATACTGTAGTTTAGCAGGTGAGGTGCTGCAGGCATACTGTTTGGGGTCACGTGATCCACTGTCTACTAGTACATGATTGTACTGCAACTCCAAGCCCGTGACTCCGTGAGGAGGGTATACTGTTGGGAGGGTATACATCACTGGCGTAAGATGACATCACGTCACGATCACTCCGTGATATTTTTAGGAGTTTCCGTCCAGTGAGTGTTCCCTTCCTTTTCCTTTTCAAGTTCTCACAAAGATTGACAATGGGCGTGTTTACTGGCATCACACCTAAAAAAGACTACGCTATTTCGCATGCCCTGATACAGTGATGACATACAGTGCTTATTGATGTGCAACTGATAAGCGGGATGGTACACACATGCAGGGAGTTGCAAAGTATGACTCACTGATACGAGTAGAGCAAGTAGAGTGCAGTTTGTTTTCCCCCAAAAAAGAATTAAAAAAGTACACTCTGGTTAGCGATTTGTCGCTCGGGTATACACCCGGCCAGGCACCAGAAAAGTGTCGTTATTCGCGAAGTGTCGTTATACCCGAAGTCTCATTATAATTATGTATACAGGTAGAATGGACTTTGCTCTGGGCATGGAAATTCAGTCGTTATTCGCGAATTGTCGTTATATCCGCAGTCGTTACTAGCGAAGTTGACTGTATATGAAGAAAGATATTGTGAAAAGGAATGGAATGATTGTTGTTGACTAGCAGAGGATGTCATGATTTTATAAAACTTGCGTCATGGAATTAGAGTCTGACCTTACACTCTAAGCAAGGTCTTTCTCTGTTGTAGCATTACATTTGCCAGCATCATATTGCAGTACTGAGGGAGTTCTACCACTACGGAGATTCGCCTTTTGTTTGGCATCAACCCTCTCAGTCTGTTACTGCCGACGGCCATCAGGAGACAAAGGTCAAATCAGCCCCCCCCCCTCCCAATCTGAAATGAAGTTCGCATGTCCTCCGCTTTACAACCGTTAACCAGCTACATAATCAAGTGTGTTGAGAAATACAACCAGCTTTGGATGTTTTGTTTGTGCCAGGTGAACACCATGTCAAAAGCCTCTACAGTGTATCTCAATAATGTCATTTCGCACATACATGCACAATGTCATGTACTTTGCATGGAGTAGCAAAGTTTGAAACCAAACGAAGTGTCTGTTGTCACGGGCACAGATTTGCCACTCCATACAGAGAATCTCAAGTAATGGAGTAATCGCCTAACCTCTATCCAGTAGATCTACTACTAATCTGAGTTGAGTGGAATGCTAGAAAGGGACAGGCTCCCAAAAGGCAAAAAGTGCTCGAAGACTGGATATTCGTGGTACTTACGTGTCCCGACGTGATGGATCAGTATTCGATGGTAGATCTACACTCCCGAAGAGCAGTCGGAGCACACGCAGAGCTAGAATCTGACACTGCTTTCTGCCTCTAGCCTCAATAGCCTTTTTTGCGACAGCAACATAGGAGAGTCTCGGTGGATATCAACACCAGCTATGCCATACTCGTAGATCTTCGAAGACAGAGAAGCTCGTGAAAAGACACCACCACATCAGCCCCAGTGCTTTTGTTTCATTTCGGCTCCGCCACAGCCAGATTATTTGCGGGTGGACATAATAACAGCTCTGGAACGTGGAAGCTTATTAATTTTTACTCTTGTCGTCTTGATAATATCGATGTTCGAACATGAGGTCGAAAGTTCTCTCGTGAGATCACGCTCGGGACAGGTCAAAGGTCAAAAGGGGAACCTTATATACACGAATAACACTCGTCCAACTGGTGACCCGATGTAGCTGCTTCGGTTATGTCTTGGGATTGCCGAGCCCCTGACTTGCTTGCAGGTCGCGGGTTCGATTCTCGCATTGCGACACAAGGTCTGGTACATAAATGGCTTAGGATCCGTACCAGCTCCTCCCTGAAACCGGTAACGGTGGTGTCCGCGAAAATCGTGTATCTGTGGTTGTCTTCTCAGTCAAGAAAAATGTGAGGGAACGGCTAATTGATTGGGAAGGCCATACTTTTTTCTCTTCGTTTCTTCTGGTATTCAAACTATGATTGATTGGGGCCTTCCGAAATATAGTGATAGTATTTGTCGTCCAGGGTTGCTGGACAGCGTACTTTTTCTTAGCTGGTATCTCTCCAACATGATCATCAGTGCTGGAGCTAGCCCTATCTCGCGTTCGCCGTACACAATCGAATATGCTGCTTTTGTACAATTGGGAAGACTCGATAAAGGATCCCGGGAAACGACTCCAGCTATTCGTCATGGAGAGCTTCGCACAGGCCAGTCATCACGAGGAAAAATCCGATGGTGGAAGTACTACTGAGCATTCCTCTTCCGTATTGCTGGTGTCTCCCACTTCAAAGATGTGCCCACACAGAAATTGTCGCAAATACTAGTCGAGTAGTAACTGACTCTCTGGATGATTGGTGACGGTCTGGTTCCTAGAAACATGACTGTCGTGATTTCAAGGTGGACTCTCCAGTCTGAGCCACACACGTCCGGGACGATCTGTGAGCAAGGAGCAGAGAACGGAGCAGTGGGACACTTGGAGACTGCGTGGATATCATCTTCAAATGCATGTTGCTGTATCATGGATCATGGAATTACAAACTGGGAGTCAGATCTAACTGTTACATGACTGTATACTTACTTGTCTGCAATGGAGTACCGTGCCCAGGGAAGAGGAGGGAGCCCACTTCAACACCTGCATGGATGTTAGAGCTACATACTCGCCTCTTAGTCTCCTGCTTTCAGTGCACAGCTTCAGTGCTGCCGGCCAGTTCAACGGTAACGTTACAAACTTGCCGGTACATATGGCCATCTATCTATGAACAGAGGCCTCATATCCCGACGATCCCGCTGCAAGCGAGCTGCCGTGTCAGCGCAGGCCAGTGTCCCGAACAAATGAGGGTATGCAGCGCGTCTTGGAACCTGACAATTTCGCCCAGCATCGCAATGGTCACATGCTCCTGCCATGCCTCTGGAGGGCATTTTGCAGCGGTGGTCATCTACAGCATGTACAATCACCATGGACACTGTAACCTGAGCTTGCCGCCACGCAGACCCATGGAGCTTGCCGCCACGCAGACCCATGGAGCTTGCCGCCACGCAGACCCATGGAGCTTGCCGCCACGCAGACCCATGGAGCTTGCTGCCACGCAGACCCATGGAGCTTGCCGCCACGCAGACCCATGGCCCAATAGCACCAGGTGCCGGACGTACTCAGTGCATCCCATCAGCAGTACCACCCTGATTGGTGACACATACATGTACATGTACAACAGCTCAATCGGTCTGACCTGTGTAAACAAAATAATTCTGAAACACACATGCTATTCCATTATTCGCTTGTAACGAGCATTATCTACTTTCCGGACTTGCATTCATGACTGTTAGATGCGTTTCAGGCGTCGGGAGATTTTGTAT